ATGTTGCGAAAACAAGGTCAAACAACCACTCTACAACGAAAGGAGACTGCGACCACACAAAAGGCCACACTATCTTGGTCTTCATACCTTCGATTAACAAACTGAATATCACATCTAAATCACCCTGGACGATGTATGTTGACCAAAACTTTAATTCAAGATCTACTCACTATAACACGACCTATGGCCTATGAATGCATCAAGAGTTAGTAGAGACGTCAAACGAAACTTGGGCCGTCACAGTTGAGGGTCTTGTATGCATTATTCCCATCTCATGGATACACACCAAGAGAATCTCTGGCGTAGAATAGGCCTGACTCAGCGAGACACGTAATACCTCACTGGCACGATACGCCATTGCAACAACCGTTTTCCTTTTAAATGGGATAATTCTTACATTTGTCCCATCGGAAGCCGAAGCAGTGAGGAATGCTAGATTGAGCCTACAAGTATTCGACTCACCGTCATCTGAGCCCCATGAACCCGTGTTGCGACGACGTCCGTCGCGTGGGAACAGACAAAAAGTGCTTTAAAAATTAGCCTCTCGAGACTATTAGTAAATCATACAGCTGAGATGTATTGCTCCCGTTTCGTTTAGTGTGATGAAGGAGCAGAGGTTGAATATTTCCACAATCGGTTGAGTAAACCATACGTAGCATTGCCTCCCAAACGGTATTCGCACTCATGCAGTTTTGAACTCCACTGAACCGGTCTCGTCAGCATCCCCAGCGGGACTTGAACCCGGGTTGTTGTAGTGCAACGCATAATCTCGACATGTTAACCACTCCGCCACATTTGCACAAGTGCCCTTGGGGCACAGGGTGGATAAGAATTTCCAGAAAGGCTAGACATTTTGTCATACCACATTCTGTGGTGGCGTTTTCGAGGAAGCAAATTTGCATTTGGTATAGAAATTGACTGCATTACTTATTTTTCCATCTTTTGGCAGCTCTACTAGCAAACTTCTAAAGCATATTTATAAATGAAAAATAAGTAATATACTCGATTGATGTGGCGTATGCAATTTGGTTTCCTCGACAATCCCATCACAGAATGTGATCTACTTCACATTTACACCCGTCCTTTGACCCAATGCCACTTGTCCTAATCCGGCGTAGTGGTTAACTCGTCGAGGTCCCGCCGGTGGTGCTGATTGGATCGAGGCGGGTTCGAAACTACAATCCACCCCTGTAGGGATGGGAATACCTTTTGCTATGTAAAATTTAATGGAAACGTAATGCTTACTAATGCATAGAAGTGGGTTGACGCAACTTGGTCTTGTTGTCACGGCGACTTAATAGTCCGAATTATGAGAAAGTGGACTTGGTACATTCTCAAACGTTTCGCCGGCATCATCAGTCAGTTTTGCCATTCTCCACACCAAGCTACGAACGCGTTAGAGACAAGTGAAGTCAATTCCTCGACAAACGTTCCGTCGAAAACGGTTAGACCATCACACCTCTTTCTGTCCTGGCCTATCTATGCACT